ATTAAAATTGTGTTTGTGTTTTAGCAGCTCACAGATGCAGAGATCACTGTGAGCTGCAGTTCCAAATGAAGTTAGAGATAACCACAGAGGATTCGGGCCTTTGTCTCTGAATTCCAGCTGCTCATTCCTTACTTCAAACACTTGCAAAAATTTATAGACACTGCTTGTCATTAAATCTCCTCTATCTGCCTGTCTTACCACGCTCTGAGAGCTGAAACAAAGCTGTGTAAGAGATGCAAAGATACCTGAAAACATAAAGCCTCCAACCTGATAAGATAAAAGGATTTTTATAAATTAAATAAAAATTGCTATTGGCAGTTTCTGGAACAAACACAAATATGCACATTCATATCTGCATTCCCTGAATTCTTTCCCTCTGGTTTTTGTTTATTTATTCAAAAGGGTTTAAAGTGCGAATGTGTTCCTGGTATTAAATACAGCACATATCTTTACAACTTAAAGCAGAATACTCAGTGTGCATTTGTCCTCTTTCAAGATTACATCTGAAAAGAGTTTATATTATTTTAGCATTATTTTGTAGTTGCTGTGTACCGATTATCCTCTGAGCTACACAGAGGCAAGAGGCAAGATGAAAGCATTTGGCACATTTGGCTGCCATTAATCATTACCAGCTTTTAATTCCAGCCCTATATTCTCTGCTGCAGTTTCCCTTGGGTGGAGAAGTGCTGGATGCTGAGGAATGTGGGATCATGTGTGTATGAAGCATGTGGTACTGGGGGCCAGGATGGAGCTTCTCCTGCCATTTATTTTTCCCAGATGATGGCAGAGAATGGCCAGATTTTATCAAGAAGTGTGGCTTTGATGCTTAGCTGCCATTGCAATTATGTATTTACTTGAAGAGATACCAAGTCAGTGCCTCCAGTTGCACTGCAGTACCTTAAGCCAGTACCTGGCATTGTGGCAGAGAGTATATGCATTTGTTTGTCTTGGAGAACTGGAAGCAAAGGCAAGAAAATCAAAATATCACGGCCTCCTTTGCAGCATCTATTTTTATTGCTGTGCTTGTGGATTTAATGAAGTAGGTGATGGAAATCAGAGGTGCTCTCTTTGCCCATTGCAGCACTAGGATGAACACCTTGGTGATCTTGAATTTATCCTCTGGCTGCCCTTTCCTCATGACTGCAGAGTGAAATGAGGTAATAACCTCATTTGATTTGCACATCCCACAAAACTTGCCAGTGAGGCTTGAGATCTCTGTACAGCTGATTTAAGTCTCGTAGTGCTGGGTTGGCTTTTTCTTCTTAGACTGCATAGAGGTATTCTGCAGACCCCCAGGTTAGAAAATGCAGAAGTAGGTGAATGTGAGAAACCTGAGGCTGACAAATTTAAAGAAAGAGAGAGAGAAACATGTCGTATGAGAGGGACAAATGTGAGTTACCAGTATGTCTACACAAATTTATTTTTCAAACAATGCAAGTGAAGATATGGCCTAAATGAAGTATTTGGGGCACAATTTCCAATAAGATCATAGACACAGCAAAATACAGACACCTCATTGGTGAGGGCTAAAGCTGATCAAGTGAATTGTATTAATTATGAGCTGAGAACTTAAAGAACATGGCATATGTCAATCATGACCCACAGGTGAGCACAGATTGATAGCACAGAGAGAAAATACCATGTCAGAAGGCATGACATAGAACTAAACTGTATTTCAAGGGGGGAAGCATTTAGATTTTGGACTTGCACATTCAAGCTGTTAGTGTCCCTACTAGAAAATGATGCAGATGATTCCCCCCAAACATCTAGAATTTCTTAGAAACCTGTTTTTCTGGGTACTATTCAAGTTAAGTTGTCTTTTGTTGGTTAGTGAAGAAGAAATTAAAAAGAGAGAGCAGAGTCAGAAGACTTTGGACAAGTTTCTTGGAGTCAAGACAGCAAAATGCTTTGTTAGTTTGGATTTGTCAGCCTGATACTGACATTTGCTAAGAAAGTTATTAGTTATCAGCTTTTCTCCTCAGTAATAATGCACTCATGTTTGCAGGTGATGTATATGCATTCTTACTTATCGAATCTATGAGCTAGATAGAGCTCCAAAGGCCATTTGATTTAGTAAACTGAAGCTTCATTCTTCTGAGCGCTGTGGCTGTAGTGACCTTCATGGAAGTCAGTAGTGTAACTCATTATTTTATTTGTTTTTGTTGTTGTTTTTTTTTTATATTACTTTCAGATACATTTTCTTGAGTTTTGTTTTATTTATTATTGTTATTTTACATTTTATTTCTTTATTTTCACTAGGCTTGTTTTGAGCGGGTTTTATAATCAGTCTGTGAGAGGTTTTACACTTGAACTTTATTTATGGCCATAGAAGAAGCTTCTAGAATACCTTCTAGATATAGCCAAGATTTTATTAGTAGCGTCCTTTAAATTTTAACAATGTAATCCAATAACTATTTTTATTTGACTTCTAATTCTTACAAAAAATGTTTCAGTAGCAGTACTAATGTTAAAATTGTTATATGCACACTTTTTAGTTTCTACCACTTTTCACGGTGCTTTGTTCACCGTCTGTTGCTCCTGCAGGCCCTGAGGTCAGTGCTTTCAGGCTGGTGGGGGTCGGGGTGCACTCCAGCATGTCATTGACATCTGGAGCCTTTCCCTGGGATGGATATGATTTTTGTGTTAATGGTTTAGTTTTCCTCACTCTAGGATCCACTTGGAGTCATTTTATGCTTGCTAACACAATTTTAGACTTTGCTTTTTCTTCACTGGTCTGAAGATCCAGGTTGTGACAAAATTTACCATACACAGTTCCTTTCATGTATGTTAGATGCTATTTCTTTGTTTTGTTTTTACACTTAAATGCAGCTTTCTGCAGATCCAGGTCTGGATTTCTCTAGCATGGCAAGATCAGTTGTTCATAACCATGGGGTCTCCAGTGTCAGTATCCATCTTTATTACCCACACCTGTATCTCTCTGCACTGAAGCTGCAAAGCTGTGGGCTGTTGTCACCAATGGAAACCACTTATTATGGGGCTACAGGATAACAGAGGTCATGACAATTCCAGCATGATTTGCACAGTGTGAAGTATATATACAGAAAATGTGAACTACTGTACCATGTGAAAGGTACCTGTAATAGGGAGTATCAAATATGTATTTTTCTAATGGGCTTTCCAATCACCTTCTTTTTATAATGTAAATAGGAGCAAGCTGTTGGGGTTGAATCTCTGTTTTCCTTTGTTTTAGGAAATGTTTTCCAGATTCAGTAATGGTTTGCCAAAACAGATAATTCGGTATATTCCAAATTTGGCAGAGCTGACATTCTAGTCACTGATCATTAATATCAACAAAATATTGGTGCAAAAACACAGTCCAATACAAAATTGTGTCTAATGGAATTTTATCTGAAATTCAGCAAAAAGCAGTAGGAGCACTGGGGCAAGGCAAGCGCAGGAAGCCAGATTTGTAATTGTGTGCTTACTTATTTCTAGTTCCCCGTTCATGTTTTCTTCAAGAATATGTAATGGGTTTTTTTCTCCCTATTTATTCCTATTTTTTCCTGGATGAGAATGTGTTTCAGTTACCCTGAGATATGAGTCCAGAAATGTGTATTAGATATCTGAACTGAGGGTGCTCATTCATAAAATATTAATTCTTGGGCACTTACTGAATGTCTCCCAAAGCTAAGGGGATGTTTGCAGATGCAGCATAAGGAATTGTGCAGCTGGGCTGCTATTACCTGATGACCAGAAGAGCATGCTTTGCATTTGTGATAAGGGAAGATGAGAGCATCCTTATTTTCTTTTATCTTCTGCATCTGTAAATTGGCACTTTCTCTATCACTCTAGACACTAAGAATCAGGTATAGCAGCTCAGGGCTTCTTCTGAAGTATATTCGTGTTAATCCATTTAGCTCAGTATCAGAGTATGTTAGCACAAACCAGCCTCTGTTAGTGTTTGGGCCATGATAAATTCCCTGCTGGTAAACCCCAGTCTTTCGTTTCCCTTCCACCATTGAGAATGTTGGAGTTGTTCAGCAGTTCTTGCATGTTAAATCGTATGCAAAGGAAGCAGGAGCTATTTACAGAGCTCCTTCCATTTCAGATTCCTTTTTCTTACTGTCAGTAAGTGTGGGTTGCACTAACTGTGGGATACAAATCCAGGTGCATGTATGGGAACAGGGCCAGTATGTTTTTAACAGCCTGCAGCACACTGGATAACCACCCAGCAGTAATTATACTGACTCCAGCAATATTGCTGGACTTTTAAGTTTTGGCTGTAATGAGCCATGCTATTATACCCATTTTCAAGTGATCAGTGGTGGGTACAGATAACCAAATGAAAAATTCCTCTAAATGCAGCTCCTCCTCAGCTCAGTTATCACATGCCACAAAATATGCATAATAATAGGTAAGAGCTTCCACATTTCCAGCATTACTTTGTCAGCTGAAATATATCAGCAGAGAAAACTGCTTGGATTGATTCAGGCAGATTATGCTGAAGGATCTTCAGTTGCAGAGAATGTTTATTTAGATGTATTATGAGCAGTTGCTGAAAACACCCCATAAGTTGAGCGAGTTGCAAGTATGAAGGACTTGAGGGGACAGACCTTCTCTGCCAATCTCTTACCTGTAAACTGTTTGTCAGATTAGGAACAGAAGTTGTAACTTTTATTGCAAAGGTGCTGTAATAATTAGTTACATCATGAAACAATTCTTTTTAGACAGTGTGATATACAGGTGCTCATATACTTGGACTTTTTTTGCTGTCAGCCGGTGCGGTGGGCTCATTATTATCGTTCTGAAGTGAACTTTTAAACATGTAATTACATGGAGCTGGAGTAAAAATCATACTGTAATAGTTAGTGTAAACAAGATATTCAATTTCAAGTGGTTCCATAAAACTTATAGTGGGAAAAGTCAATAATGGGAGGCTTAAAAATAGAACCGTGCCCTTTTGATGAGTTAAGCCACTCTAAAGGGCAAAATATACTGTGAAATCTTATATTTAGGCTATTGCTTTTCTTTTTTAACAGGACTGGGAGTTCCCACATTTTATGGGTGATGTTGAAGTGAATCTTCCAGGCTTGCCATCTGCACACATGCAGTTCAAAGTACCTTATTTCCAAAAGATCTTAAAAGAGGAGTATCACATTCATATAACAGGTATGTAATCACGCAGACTGTGATACAGGCACATGTTGAACTGCTTCTGTGTACGAAATGAATGCTAACATGTTTTTTACCAAATATTTTCTTTGTTCTCCCCCATCTCTCTAGATGATTGCTGTTTTTTTATCTGTTTAACTCTCCCTATCGGTATCATCCATATATAAGCCTCTCAGGGAAATGAGGAATCTGTATCTTACAAATCAAAAAGACCTGCTGTTTGTCATGGATTTCAGCAACTTCTTGTGACACTAAGTAATACCTAGTGTAGCTTCAGAAATCTTTTATCTAAAATTACTCTCTGGGGGAATTAGCTGCTTATTTCATTTAAAATCTCTTATGCTTTCAGATGCCTTTGCTGTGATTTATGCTAATGTCTTTTCATAACTTCGGTCATTCTCATCTGGCAAAGGCCACTCACAGCCATACTGCCATCACTCATCTAACCAAAAGCAGGCAGTTAAATAACTTCAAATGAAATAGAGTCACAGATATTCAAATGGATGGCACATAGAGATAAAAGTACCCAGTCCTTACATACTATGAGACAGTGTTTGAATAACAGTAGAGAATGAAAAAGAGAGGAAGGTTAAAGAGAAGATAAATAATTTGCTTTTACTTTCAAGCTGTGCAAAACAATGTGGTGGCAAGAAAGAAATAAATAGTACTGTACAGCAAAAGAATGCAAACGTGAATTGACAGAAGTCCTTAGCTGCTAATATAAACAGTCACAGCACATGACAGTGTACAGCAATAAAATATAGACAGCATCCAATGATACAGCCATATGAAATTCCTGCAGAGCAGGGACAAAAGGAATATTCAGACATCATACAAAGACATGGCCAACAGTTAGCAGGTGAGCCCTAAGTTTACCAGGCATCAAAAGACAAGGAAGGAAAATGTGCCAAGCAAGAAAGAATGAGGAACGGGGACTCACTGGAAATAGGCTGAATGAAGAGAAGGCATTTTCAGAAGAGATGATAGAAATTGGAGTGATTATGTTGGAAACCAGAAAAAAAAAAGAAAATGAGTGCAAAAGTTACCTGCAGGCTGTTGAGTAAAAAGAGGCAAGTGGGTCAGTAGAAAGTAGAGATAGAGAGATAGGAAGTTTTTTCAAGTTGTATGTAGATTCCCTGTTGGAGTACTGTTAGGAAATAGATAGTAGGCCGCAGGAAATGAGTTTGAGGTACATCTAAATGAGATGGTTTGAGATCAGGAGCAGGACGAAGTGAAAAAGGTAAATGATGTCCTGGTCAATGACAGAAGATACAAAATGAGAAGAGATGTGTATCTGACAAAGAACACGTTTTTCTCTCTGAAGTGAGAAAAGTCTTGCATAAAAAGGGAAATGAAGAGAGCAAAAAAAGAGTATAATAATCAAGTATCTGACATGAATAGGCATGGAATTCAGGCCTAGTGGAAAAGAGGATTTAATTCTGCTTCTCAGGACTAGAGCATGATTTTGAAGAGACTCAGTTCCATGAGGATCCCAGGTGCCCTGCAGTTATTCCATGGAATAAAGAGCAGTAGTGAAATGGGTGCACATAGAAGCTTGGACAAGGACTGAGTAATGATTGGGTGAGCTGTACCATTAGATACAGGAACTCAGGATATAATTAATGTAAATGAAAACCAATGGGTGGTAGAAGAGGGACTGAAGAGTGAAGAACAGTTTTGCATTGCAGAAGAGTCAAGGATATTGATAAACAGAGAAGAGCTAGGAATAAGCAACAGCAAAGAACATAAATTACATATCAGAAATACAACTGCTAGCAGTGCTGCTGTTTAAAAACAAATCAAATAAGATCGATATTTGTACATTGTAGAGTCTTCTGCAGAGAGGACTGGAGGTCTTTCTGATTTTCTGGCAAGAAAGCATTCTTTTAATGAGGATGAGCTAATGAATAGGGGCTGAGGAATATTTTTCCCTGCTCAGCATTAACAAGATCCATTTATTAAATTCACTAGACAAATCAATCCATTTGACTGCACATCACGTACTCTGTCTACTGAGTGCCTGTTTTATCTCAGTGCTACACCACCCTTTAGGATATCTAATAAACAGCCATAACACATGGCACGGGAACCTCCCTTTGGGTGAGTTTTGCTTGAACCATCTGTTCTTAGGTTAGGTTAGGGTATCATCTTAGATCATTTTCAAACTCTAGTTCTTGTGTGGATGTGTAGATTCTAATTTTCTACTTAAATCAAGGAACTAATAGAAGAAGGAAAAAAATGGTTCTTTATATATGTTTAACAAGATGAATGTAATAAAATCTAAAATGAGGGTAGAAAGTGAAAGAAACTGCAGCAGATGATGTGAGGAGGGTACTGATAATGGAGGGAATGTAAAGACCTGTTAAAACCTTATTTGTTTAAAGCCTTGTTTAATTCATGGGATCCACAGTGTTAAACTTAACTGTGTAACTTTTTTTTCTTTTTTTGTTACAAGCAGGAAAAAAAATGACAAGGGCCCGAATATCATTTATTTTTGTACTTGCTATTGTGATAAGGTCAAGTTGCAAAACTACAATCTGTGCCCCAATGTCCAGAAACTGAAAATCCATTTCTACTAGTAGTGAGAAAAAAAAAGCCATGGCTGAAATATCATTTCCCATATTTTTCCTTGCAAATATTATTCATAGTTGTATGTATTTGGTCACTCTTGACTGATACAAGCAAGAGCAGCCCCTGGTCTCCCCTGAGGAGCCCTATTCAGTGCTGGGTTGCTCTAATGAGCAATGGTCCCACAAAGATTCAGTTATAAGTGTAGGGACATGCAGAGAAGTAAATGACATTAAACCACCTTTCTGTTGATGTGTGCTTAATGACTTGGTATATGGACTGTACAGATGAAGGATTTCACAGTTATGTGATCTGTGTTGCCAGCTCTCCTAATTTTATTGTAAGTCTTTTAAGATAGGTGATTACTAACGTGTATTTTTTGTTGTTGTTTGTTTTGTTTTTGGGTATTTTTGTTTTTTTTTTTTTTGTTT